GGCGTGAACGAGAACCAGTGGACAGGGTAGAAGACCTATTGATAGGAAGAACTGCATTATGAGTGAGATTAAGAGGTCTCGCGGCCTGGGGCCATCTCGCCGATCTCTGATTTACCACTCTTGTTCTTGAGGCATTGTTCCCAACATTGATGAATAGGGAGCCCAGACATTGGGAGAATAACTTGACGAAGCCACCCCGACACCAAATCTTGGCTGTTTGTGAGCAGAGGATGTTGAGATTACCCTCACTAAGAGGAAATTTGTTATTGTTGTAGCGAGTTGGGCTTTGATACTTGACCAGTCGAGTCTCGGATCTACCTTTCCCCCACTCCGGGGTGGCTGCTGCCTGGATTGGACCAACACACTTGCTCCCTTCACCGACTCTCGTACCAATCCCATTCCGGACCTCTTCACCGCTTCCCACGAGCACCGCCTTGGTAAAAACCAATCGACGACGCATCACTTGAGGCTCAATGAGTATGGAGACTCCTCAAGAGGGCATTCCCAACCCATCAAGGCCGGACGCTGAACAAATCGTGGAGGCCGAGTCAAGTCCTCCACCGGGTCTTCCGCCAGCTCTTCCCTTTACGTCGCAAGAGCCAAAAGTTGGTGATCCACCACTTGCGTGGGAAGATTTTAAGAAACTAAAACTCCGGCGATTTCCAGGATCACGCGACGACATCAAACTTCGAAGATTTCTAGGCCGAGGAGAGGATGGCTATGTCGTCAGAGCTCGAATCAGGGACCGGGAGGAACCCGTTGCCATAAAGATAGTGCGTTGGCCATGCTGAATGAATCAAGGATAAATCGGGCCCGTCGCAGAGAAGTGCATTGCATTAATCATTTCCCACAGTTTCATTGGAATCACCAACCACCAAATGTTGGTGCCTCCCCAGCTTGGGTACCCCCTCCGCACCCGCTACATCCTGGTCGTGAACGGCTTTACTCCCCACGACCACCTCATCCTGGCATGAAGCGATATTGGGCCTTCGAGAGAGAATGCATGAATTGCGCACTCTTGGAGAAAATTGAGACCAGCCTCGAACGTGCCGCGGCCGCCAGGAAGAAAATATACGTCCACCCAAAACCCACGACATGGAAAGAAGTACGAGTGAATTTGCGGGCGTTCTCCACTGCGGCCTCTACGAGCAAGTCGAGCGAGCCAGCCCCCAAAACACCCGAGAACCTCGCTCCGTTCACCCCAAACGTTAAAATAACTGGCTGCCTGGGCTGGACCGAGTTTAAGGGGAGCGATATTAATGGACATTTCATACGGACCCGGGCGCCGTGTTTCTTAGACCTAAAGGAGGACGAAACGTACTACGCCATCATCTACGAGTATATCCATGGATGGAAGTTGGAAGCCGATGACATCATCGCACAACTGGACTTCTTCCACATCACTGGGTTCAGTCTTGTGCCATTCAAGTGCAATAACTGGCGGGGTTCAGGTGTACTTGTGGATTTTTCTGATATTGTCTCTCCATTTGCAGGTCATACATGGTGGCGGGAATCCGAATACCGGCGGGACCAGGACTTTTCATATATAAGGGATTACGCGGAATGCGGTGAGCTATTAAACCCACGTGGACCCTGCCTCGCTGGGTTGAGGAGGGCAAAGCAAGATTAGTTGTTGGACCTTGGGAGCTGTTTAAGGAGTGCAGAATCCTCAATTTCTTTTGGATGATGTCTGGCATAGTTTCATAGCAGTAGTGTGTAATAGCATGGCGGTTTCGATGCTGGGTCGGATGATTCTGTAGGATAACAAGACGGCAGAACGCCGAGAAAGGGTCGAAGGGGAATTAAACATCTTTTTCCGAGATGTTAGGATGAAGCTTCATGTGTTTTCCTCTCATTTGATTTAGTTGTCAGGCTCTGTCTGTCGAGTTCAATTCACTGAAGAGAAACTGCTTTAATTCAACGGGAGGAGAAAGGTTTGTCTCTGTCCCAAGTCTTGGATTTCCTTGTTCGCTGCATAAGGTGAATTAGCAGGGTGAAACATCAACAGCACATCCACAAGATCTTCTTTCTCTATGGCCAAATGGTTAAGGCGTCCGACTGTTACCCACTCCGTAGCGGAAAATCGGAAGATTCCAAGTTCGACCCTTGGTAGGGAAGCTTTTTTTTTTCTTGGCGTTTCTCATTGATCTATCTCCCTTTTCATCTTTTTGATTTCCTTTGGGGTTCCTTTTTGACGGGTCTGGTGGAGATTTATCCGGATCCCAATGGGGGGTTGATTCTCCGCTGCTGTGGTGCGGGGCTGAATGCACCCAAGAAGCACACAGCCCGGGTGCGGCTCTGCGCCCTTCGATCAAGCAAACGATCTGAGGACTTCGAGAAGATGGCGGCAATGAAAATCTACAGAAAAATGCAGTAAACGCGTTCGCTGAGCATCTCCAAGTCGTGTCTGACGTCCTGAAAAATGAGGTGCGCATTGCGGTTCCACCCTGCCAACATAGATGGGATATGGGCATCATTTACTCGTACATCATCGCCGTCACGTCTACTTGATTCGAGAAGTCCGGTAGTCGACGACCTGGAACGGCCGGCCACCTTTGAACAAAACGACCACGTTGAACTAGTGTCGAACCTATGCAACAAGTGGTCCCGCAACGCGTGTGTAGTTGTTGAGAGGGCCCATCTTCCGGGAAAATCCGGCGGAAGATGGGAGATAAACATGACTGGAGCGAGAAACTGCTACGGCGGCTATCCCGCCGGATCACCTGTGGACCCCATCAACCTTTTGAAGTCTATTTCATTTCTAAGGCCGCTCCTTGTCGAGGCCGCAATGACGGTGACAGTCCTACTCGTACGTCGACAAAAGCCTGAACGTTTTCCAATCCCAGCCCGACCAGCAACGCGGTCGAGGCGCGCTGGTGAGATATACACCTCAAACCATCCTGTCCGGTAATAATGCTGTGATTTGATCTGGTCCTGGATGGCGAGCTGTACTTCGGTACAATAAGAAATAACCGTGGAAATCGGACTAAGCCTCGAACTTCTAGCCGCTTGACCAGTCTGAGAGGGACACTCTACAGACTAGGCATAGACAAGCTGCGGAGGCACAGGTGCAGCCTTGGATTCCTGGAGTGCTTGCTCGTCAAGTCATGCGGATCGTTCGCACCCACTCACATACGCCGCGTGAAATACGAAGTACGGAGGTGAATTTGACGCATAATTGCCAGTTGATTTTTATACAGACCAAATAATGCATCAATCTTTGACGCTGCTGCTTCACTGATTGCGAAAGCGTTGCTGGCAACCGAATGACCATGTCATACACAACTCGAATAAAACGTCATCGTCATCGATAAAATGATTCCAGTCGAAATCTAGAAGATGGAAAGTATGGGCTCATGCAGTGTGCCTGAGCTGAATCCTGGATCCCGATCTTTAAACGAAATATGCGAGAGATTACGTTCGATGCGGCAGAAAATAGCTCTTTAAGACAGGACGGGGTCGGAGCCGGAGAGATTCCACCCCAGCTCCGTTCCCGACTCTTTTTCTCAACCTCCTCGTGGCAGGCGTTGCCTAACCATTCTCCTGCACTGAGCTTAGCCCACGCGAACTATGGATGATTTGTTCGCAATAAGTAGGCTTGACGGGAAACTTTCCGGGATGCCCGTTTCAGATGAGACGAGATTGACTGGGCTGTTGCAATCGGAGATAGTGTCGTGCAGTCGTCCACGTCCACATCTACGCATGCACCTGTCGTATGGAGTATTATGGACGTGAGAATTGGAGGACAGATTATTAAGCCTACCGAAAGCGAGTGCGAGTGCGAGTGCGAACGTGACGTCATGGCCAGCTGTATCTAGAAAATGCTCAGCTGTCAATCGGTGCAATTGCATCTACGAAGTAGTTTACATTGTCTTCGATTACAAACTCCACATCTCACATCGAAACTCCAATGTACTGCAGAAGATCGATTGATCGATTGATTGATTGATGCATCCACGACATCAATGGAGGAGACGGGGGGAGAGGGTAACCGAAAGGGGTGGTAAGGTAAGAGAATGGCTTAAAAATCCTCCCTTCATAATTCATCCGCGTCCTCCGTCCTTCGCATCCATCCCGCATTCGCATCTCTCGCTCTCCTGCATTTCCAATAGACATCTCCTAAAATCCGAAAACACTATCCTGTCGCATTCGCTCAAGCCTTTCCTAGCGCCTTGGCTTTGAGTCTGTCATCCTATGAGGTGCTCACTTTCATCCAGTTTTATCCACTCCCATCACTCTCATCCCATCCCGTGCCCCGTTCCTGGTCCGCCGGAGCCTTTCGGCTGGATTTTCCCTCCGCCTCCGCCTCCGTAGCAGCCCTACCAGGGCCCAACAACACGGCTGACACTTCCGACCCTCCTGCCGGCTCTTGATAGCATTTTCCAAAAGAGGAAAACGCTAAATTTTCTTGCAGCATTTGATGCCCCCAGACGCCAAGATGTGACTCCAGGGCGAAAACCCGTGGAGACTTGCGACGCGGACACCATTCCACATTCGTACTCAATGTACGTAGTCCTATGAGAACTCGTTTCATTTTCCAGTAGGCACCGACTTTTTTTTTCCCCCATCCCTTGCTGCTCGGAATCGCATCCGCTAGCCACGTTATGGTTTTATACGTACTTTTCTTCGGAGTTAAGCATGTTGAAGATTCGATCCCTGCGACATGGCAGGAGCGGAGCTTTGGCCGTGAGAAGGGCATCGATGTATATATTGTGGAATGCCCCTTGCGCTTGCCTCGAAGATATTTGTAGATGATCGATCACGACTCCCTTTGGTAGATAACTCCACCGTCTTCTTCAATTTCTTCTGCTATCCTGCTGGGAGATCTGTCCAGCAATCATTGCTATCAAGTGCAGTCTGTATCTTCCTTGCGGCTATTATATCTTCATCTTCTCAACGGTCATCCCCTTTCCCGCTGTTCCTCTCCTAATTTTTTTTTTTTTTCTCTTTTTCCAGCATCAGTATCAAGAACACTTCTTAGACCAAACCCTGCGAAAACAATGTCGTCCGAAAAGCCCCCGGGCTCTCGAGGCTCAAGCCCGGCCCAGAGCGTTGACATCGCCCCCGTCACCGCGTTCAAGCCCACCCGCGACTTTGTCCTAGCCTTCTGCTCCATGCTCATGGTCGTCCTCGCCGTTGCTTTCGAGGCCACCACCCTAGCCGTCGCCCTCCCCTTGATGAGCAGCGACCTTGGCGGAACCGCTCTCCAAGCCTTTTGGTCTGGTACCGGCTTCTTGCTGGCGAGTGCCGTGTTTCAGCCTACCATTGCTGGATTGAGTGCCGTCTTTGGCCGAAGTAATGTACGTTCCAATTTCTCTCTTTCTTTTCACCACACCCAGTGATATATGTATATATGTCTAACTCTATTGCCCCCATAACAGCTCATCTACGTAACCTCCCTCCTCTTCGCAATCGGCTCCCTCATCGCCGCCCTGGCCAACAACTTCCCCGTCATCGTCGCCGGCCGCGTAATCCAAGGTGCCGGAGGCGGCGGCATCATCGCCCTCACCGAAGTCATCGTCACCGACCTCGTCCCCCTCGCCGACCGAGGCCGCTGGTTCGCCATCCTCTCCGCCGTATGGTCCGTCGGCACCGTAGCAGGCCCTCTCATCGGCGCCGGCTTCGCGCAGAATGTCTCGTGGCGCTGGATTTTCTGGATCAACTTGCCCATCATCGCCATCGGCGCCGCCATGGTCTTCTTCTTCCTCAAGCAGGCCAAGTTACCCGGGCACATGGTTGAGAAGCTGAAGAGGTTTGATTGGACTGGTGCTGTTCTGTTTACTGTTGGCTCGGGGAGTTTCTTGTTTGGCATCTCTTCGGGGGGTGTCATGTATGAGTGGGATTCGTGGCAGGTATTGCTGTCTATTTTGATGGGTGTGGCTGTTTTGGGAGGGTTTGCGCTTTGGGAGGCGAGGTTTGCGACTGGGCTCGGCGTGGAGCTGTTGGTTCCTGCTAAGCTGTTCGATAATTGGAGTATTATCTCCTCTTATATCCAGGCGGTGCTCCACGGAGCTATCCTCTGGTCGCTTATCTACTTCCTAAGTAAGTTCCTCCCCCCTCCCCCTTTCTCCTTTCGTTTCAACCCCCATGCCTATCTCCCATGTCGTTGCAAGAGCAAATAAGACTAACACAACCGATACAGTCCTCTACTACCAAGCCATCCTCTTTTACTCCCCCATAACCTCTGCCGTCGCCACCCTCCCCGAAACCCTAACCGTCGCCCCCTCCGGCATGGTCGTCGGCATAGTCACCGCCATCACAGGCCGCTACCGCTGGGCGCTCTGGTCCGGCTGGGTCATCACCACCCTCGGCGCCGGCCTCCTCTACCTCCTCGACGCCCAGACCTCCGTCGCCCAGTGGATCTTCCTCAACATCCCCGTCGGCATCGGCACCGGAATGCTCTTCCCCGGCCTGGCCCTCTCCATCCAAGCCTCCTGCGCCCCTCTCCTCAACGCCGAAGCTGCGGCCTTCTTCTCCTTCGCTCGCACCTTTGGCCAGAGCATCGGTGTTGCTGTCAGCGGTGTGCTCTTCCAAAATGTCTTCAAGACGAAGTTGGAGGACTTGCCCGCTTTTGCCGATAAGGCCCTGGAGCTTTCCAGAGACGCAACCATTGTCGTCGGTGTCATTAAGGGCATGGATCCTTCGCAGATGAAGGATGATCTTATCGGCGCTTATAACGATTCGTTGAAGGTCGTGTGGATTATGCTTACGGCTTTGGCCGGCGTTAGTATGTTGCTCGGCTTCACCGTCAAGTCCTTTTCGCTGCAGAGGGAGCATGTTACGAAGCAGGGGCTGGTGACGAATGAGAAGGTTAGCGACGTCGAGGCAGACGCTGGGAACGGGGCAAAGGCGTAGGTGAGATTTCGGTGTTTTGGCAACTCTGGGTTTGGGGAGGGGAGGTGATTCGAGAAGGATTCATGAGTGTTGAGTTCATAGATATAAGAGTCGTGGGAGTAGAGGGTGGCAAGTTGGTCTGTTTTCGTGAGTAGGGCGCCTGGAGTTGGTGGGATACATCGAGGGTTACGAACTTTAGACATCGATCATTAGTTACATGTATAGATCTAATAACACAATCTTCTCTCTAACCTGCCGTTGTCTAGTTCATTCTGGGCCACGAATAGATAAGATCGTACATCATGTTTCATGGGATTAATCTATATATAATACTCGATAACACCCCAGACATCAAGACACATCTTGTCCTCGCTGATGGGTTGCATGGTAATGACACTGCCCAGATACATCTACCCTGAGGGGCGGATGACTTGAGTCGAATCAGTGCACCAGTAATTCCCTCTGCCCTCTCATCTTACACATGCTTCGTGCACTTATGTATGACATGCAGCTCTAATACCAGGTTCACCCTCCCGTCACGCCGCAGTCTAAGCCGAAATGCAAAGACAAACAAAATGGAAACATGGGAATTCAAGTCATCCTCGAGGAATGCTCAAGAATGATGCTAACCGCCATTGCGCCTATTCTCCGACAAAACGCCACTGACCAGCCCTGCTAAGCGAGAGAAAAGGAAAAGGAAAACAAAAAGAAAAAGAGTAAAGACGGAGAGAAGAAAATAGGCTTGTTCGAAGTATAGTATTATGAAAGATATATAAAACGAGAACAATGCTTTTGTGCCGCCAAAGCAAGACGCCGCAAAGCTAATTGCGGGTGGACTTGAACCGCACCAATTGATCTTGAAGAAATGCTCAAATGAACAGGAAAGTCTTCACGAAACGATGCACAATTCCTAGTGATTGTGTCCATGGTTGTTCGCAGCTGAATGGCTCGTCGTGGAAGTGCTCAGTACACTACAGCAGCCTTCTTGATCGCAGTCGTCGACGCATTCAAGCAGGCACATAGGCACTTGTTGATTCGGGGAGGATGTAGGACTCACGGTCCCGTCGCCGCCCGATCCGTCCAGAGTGTGCGCCCGGGCGTCCTCGAGACTCACAAATTCGCGGTGCTGAGACTTGTCGGGGCAGAACTCGGGCTGAATGGTGGCGCTGTGGATGCCGTACGCGTGGAGGCACTTTCTCGCACGCTTGGCGAGTTGCATGTACTTTTCGCCACCCTCTTCGGAGATGGGGAAAGACACTTGCATATGCATCGACGCAACGATCTTGGTATCGGACAGTTGCCAAACGTGGATGTGGTGGCAGCTCAGAACGCCTGGCAAATTCTGGATATCGTCGCGCAATTCGTTAATGTCGATGTAATCGGGAGTGGCCTGGAGGAGAATCTTGGACGTCGCAAACGTCAAGGGAAGCGCGGATCGCAGGATGATGACAGTGATGAACAGAGAGACGAAAGGATCGGTGTACAGCTTATACTTCCAGTCGGTGAGCCAAATGACGAGAGCCGTGATGATGACGCCAACATTGCCCAAGGCATCTCCGAGGACATGAAGAATCATGGCGTGCATCCCCATATCACCGTGACTATGACCAAGGCCGCCGTGCGGCTTGTCCTTCTTCGGCTTGCTATGGTGATGGTGAATGTGAGTTACGGAACCCCTTCGCGCTCTTCCAGCGGTAGGCTTAAATCGGATGGGTTCGAGGGCAGGTAGGTCCGCGTCACTGAGCAGAGCAGTGCGCTCATCTGCACCACCGTTATCTTCGGAGGACGAGGAGGAAGAGACGTCATTGTACGTAGGTTGCGATCGCGAGGCGGCGATAATTTCCTGTCGGAAGCTTGACGGATAGATGCTCAGGTCGTCGATACTAGCGAGCCGATGGTGGTGGGCGCTGCCAGCCCTACGGCGGGCCCGACCCCTGATAGCTACGCTCGGGCGATCTTCCGCAGCGTTCTCCATCCCACCAGTAGGCTGACGCGGCAGAGACGAGGCTCTGGCAATCGCAACATGTGGAAGGACATCGACAGCACTACCGCCCTGGCCGGCGATCTCGGCGTCGGTCTCCAGTATCTCGCCCTCTCCTCGGCCCTCCTCTGCAAGGCGCTGCTCGTCCTCGGCACCATGCGCGCCCTCATGGATGTGGTCGTGGTCGTGGCCACCATGATCGTGACCATGACCACCCAGGATAGCAAATCCAACGAGATTCGAGGCAAGGCCGAAAGCGCCGACTATGAGCATAACCTTCGGGTTGTTGATTTCCGGAGGGTCGAAGAATCGCGTAACGGCTTCGAGGACGATAGAAACGCACAGGGCGATCAAGAAAACGGCGTTGAAAAAGGCACCTAGAATCTCAGCTCGGAGCCACTGCGATACGGTGTTAGGCGCTAGACTTGGGTGTCATGAGAGGAAGCAGGCAGATGTCGGACAACTTACACCATAGGAAAATTTGTCCGTCGTCGCTCTTCGAGCAACAGAGACAGCCCATAAGCCGACAAGCAGGGATATGATATCGTTAAGCTGTTCGCCCCAAAAAGGGTGGGAGAGTCAGCCAAGGAGTGCAACAACGAGCCTTCGGCCAGGTGCAGAGAGAAAGGCCCACCATGTGGAAAGCGTCCGCTAGAAGCGCAAGAGAATGAATCATGTAACCAGATATCAACTCAACAAGAAAGAATATGGTGCAGATTACCACCATGGTGATAATCCGCGATGACTTGGACCACGCCATGGTGACTTGAGGACTCAACCAAGTCCAATCGAATCAAACTCTAGAGAAGCGTTACACAAGGAATAACAAATGGATGGACGTCGAAGGAGTCGCTCAAGTCGAGTTTGCCGGCCAAATTCGTCGAGAGAAAAGAAAAGAAAAATCGGGTGAGGTTTTGGAAGTGATAATCAAAGAGCTCGACGACGAGAATCCCAACTATGATTGGGGAGACGTCGTTTCGATTTCGAGCACGCTGGGAAGAGAGAAGAGAAGAAGGGGAAGAACGCGTGATCTCGATGTTGGCATGGACAGAGCCCAGCAGCTGGCAAGGACGACTTGATGCCAATTCGAGTCGGAAGATGCAGGTGCAACTGAGCTCGGTATCGGGCAAAGTGGGAAATGGTAACCGGGGGGAGGCTGTGATTACGTCAACTCCGAGAAGCAACAATTGCCACCCTTGACGACAGGTATGACCTTTCTCATCCAATCTGGCGATGCTGCGTCGATGATCGCGTCGATGATCGTCTCGACAATCTATGGACCTCGGATGAGCAGAGCGATTTCGCGTGTTTTCAATTGACCAGATGGGATTCTGGAGGTGGCAAAACGATGAAAATTGAAGAAAGTTCAGTCTCAGGAACGACGTCGTTTTGGTCACCACATCACCAGTCCGTCCCAGTCCCTGAGCGATAAAATGATGTCAAAGGGTGGAAAAGCCTCTCGTGTATCTTCGGCCAATTACAGCTTGACCTGGCCTGGCTTGGCTCTGCTGCCACAATCTAATCCTTGCCCGCCTGGAGTTAAGCTCCCTCATAAAAGCGAATCGGAGGGCCGAGTAGAAGTCTGATCATGGCTCAGCTCCGATCGAATCACCGCTTGCGAGGTAAAACTGCAAGCTGACCCCGGAGGTTCGGAACTCGCTCACCTTTGGTGTCTTTCTGTGTCACTTGATGGCTCCATCGGATCCACCGATGTCGGCAAATATTTACTGCCCGCGATCGAAAGGAGGGAGCAAAGGAAATAAATAAATAGAGGTTGAAAATGAGGGCTTGCATGTCTCTACTGCCCAGCCAGCCAACCAACCCCCCCCCCCCAAAAAAAAAAAAAAAAAAAAAAAAAAAAAAAAAGCAATTGTATTGATTAAAGGGGAGGTCTTGAGCAAAATTTGGCGTTGTGGAAGCCAACATTCCAGTACAACATCAACCATCAACCTCGTGCTTTAAGGGTCAGTCTCGAGGCTCGAACTCCACCACATCACGTCGTGGGAAGATACGTGTCCTAGACATCGTTCAAATCCTCTCATACGTAGAGGCAATTGACTTTGACCATCGCGTGCCTCCTCCTTCAAACGCACCTACAGTCGTCGATGCAGGAAGAAATAGCGATGCAGGAGCTGAGACTGGTGTCACCCCAAACGTTCCACTCTGCTGGAAAAGCATAGAAGACAAGATACCAGCTTTTGCAATCGCCGTTGCGGAACATGAAGTGGCCTCATGAACCACCGACTAGATCCGCCGACATTGCTGCAAGTTGAAGCATCAATCTTGGAGCCAGTATCCAATCGGGTCGTAACTCGGCACCTACTCGACCAGTCCTTGGAATGTGCGAAACCCTTCCGATACCTAACCAGAATGACCCAGTTAGTCCTCGAATGTCCATAAAAGGCAATATCCATAGCTCGGCAGTAGAGACAACAGGCGGAGTTGTCTGCGCGTGAGGTCTTGCTCATGACTCAACTGAGGGCCTCTCCTTTCGATATCTAGCCAAGGATGTCGTGCCAATCTTCTCATTGCGGCTCCCTTGATAATAAATTGGGATAAGCTCCGATGTAAGATCTCACTTTTACCTTGATTGGGATTTTTTCAGATTTTGATGTAGCCACTGGACTCCCGCGGGGCGTAGATAATGCTCCAATACAGGTATTATAACCATTGAGAGTGAAAACCCAGGTTGGCTCTCGCGTCCGTGACACAGCAAGCACATCTCGAGAATGCATACAGACCCAGCCCGATTTTCATTATGCCACTGAGTTGAAATGGTATTTTGAAGGTGTTATGCATCTTCACTCTATGAAAGCCACGCAATTGAAGTCTCCTCAGAAAAGCTTGCGCGACTCGGTGCTCGCCACCAGAATCTACGCCGGGGCGATTTTCTTCAATTCATATTCGTCAGAAAGAGTCCCTGCCGCCTTTGTATCGGGGCTCCGACAAAAGCGTAAGCCAATATACCCATCGCCCCCCATATCCCTTTTAAGCCTATATGGCCTCTTTTCCATAGACCTCATCGGCTCGGGGCGACTTCGTCCGAGGCCAATGTTTGCCTCCTCTTTCTGTAATTTGGGATCAGCGCCAACACGCCAGAGCACCGAACAATATATCGAAGCCAGGTAATGGGACCATCATGAAAACAACGTGGATATAATAATATACGTAAATTCGTTAAGCAAGGGCGGCTAATGCACGAAACCATTCTGGAAATCGGAATCAAGGATGAAAGGAAGGAGAAAGAAAAAACCAACGGTCACAAAATAGGCATCAAAAACGTCCCTCTCTTCACCATATTTATCTGACGTTTCCAACCCGTTCCCTTGATTCCGCGGGCGTTCGCTCGGCCGGTTTTTACGGGGCATAATGCAACTCTTCTGGTAACTCGGATCCGATCGCTTTGTCGGCCAGACTCCTGCAACACACTCGGTATCCCACCAGATGTGTTCATTTTGGTGTATATGCTGAAATCCTAAAACGTCCCTGAGCCTGAGGAGGGCGCCCACCCGACCACCCGACCACATCTGGGCCGCCGCTGCTCATGAGCAGCATGCGAGCGGCTAGAATGGTAATTCAACCCTGCAGCCCCCAAACACCGGAGCAATACAAGAACAGATTGATATTAGGTCTCTCATTTATACCCACCATATGTCAAGGCAGGTACCGTGACGAGGAAGCGAGGTCCATCTGTCACTGTCGTTTAGCGAGCCCCTCTAATTGGACCTTACTCCGCTACCTCCCAGCCCGGTCGGTGCCGGAAGGAACAAGAGTGGCAAATAGACTGGGTAGGTAAGAGTGAGTACTCCCAGAACACGGCAAATGCCTGTCTTCGAAGCGTAGCGCGGCAGGTGGGAGTTCATTTATCTCTCAAGGGTGCTAGACGTCATCACACCGGCTGGCCCAGGCCGCTTCTCCTCACTGGTGTAATCGTTCCGGAACGGATGAGGTAAAATAACCCTTGACGCTTTATATCAAACTGCAGACTCCTTAAGCTTGTTGTCCCTTTTCCCCTCTAACGGGCGTCGGGTCGCTTTTGCACCATTCCCGCCATCTCCAGTAATACCCGAGAATACGGACGTCTGTTTCGACGATGAAGACGTTTCAAACCCGAATGGTCCAAATATACGTCTTCAAGTTGTCGATCGAGAAGTCCCTGTGCAGGTCCCAACCAGAGTGCTGTCGTCAACATTGTCGGAATGGGGAGTACCTTTTAGCATAAGGTAACTACTTCTTACCCTCCCAACCTCGAGGAGGCTTCTTTTGTGACCCCAACGCTTATAACCAGGCCCAGAAATACTAGACCGAGCTATTTTATGCGTCAGCCACATGTCGTGAGTACAAGGATAATGCCGGGGAGAGGAACTGGTGAGTGACCTACAAGTATAGTTCCAAAGGCGATAATAGAGACTTCAAAACCACCTGCAAGAGCCTTTCCCGCGGCGACCGCATGTTGATGCCTCCATGTTCGGCAACCCCCAAGGAGAACGGTTATGATAGAGAAAGAGAGGCATGCTGTCGACATCGACCTTCCAATTTCCCTATACCCGAAGCCCTCATCTTGTTGCTGGAGGAGGAAGAGCTGGGAAATCACAGTTCCCATCATCGCGAATGCTAGGGATGTTCTGAAATATCCAAGGAATGTTCGCTCGATAGCTATCCAGTTTTTAATGTGATGTTAGCGACGCCCATGGCAAATTAAGCAAAAAGAAAAAAAAAAAAAAAAAAAAAAAAAAAAAAGAAAAAAAGAAAAAGAAGAAGTGGACAGAAAATGAAGACAGGTGATCTGTTTCGAATAGATGCGCCAATGAAAGCCGGATCTCTTTTCGACTGCGCTGTTGGAGTCGTGGGCTACCACCTTGATCACTTGTTACTTATAGTTGGACATATAAGGCTTCCTTTCCTCGAATACAAGAAGGAAGGTGGTCTCGTCACTCCTTCCGCGAGAGTTGCGTAGGGGGCCTTTGCAAGAACAAAACGAGTGCCATGTTTTGCTGTCCACATTGATGCCACTAATATCGCTCAGGGAAGTAACCTGGACAATGTGTGTGGTGCCCTCCGCTACTAGGCCACATACAAGCGGCGTCCCAAATATTGCTCTCCACTCGGGGCATCCTTCATGTGGGCGATCTTAGAATAACCATAGACGTGTGCAAAGAGGGCGGTGCGGTTGTTAGCACTAGCACTTAATCCCTTAAGAAAGAGCATCCCTCGGGCGAACCTCGCCAGTTTTTCTTTAAGCGCGGAAACGGCTCGGGAACAAGGGAGTCGATCTCAGCGGCTCAGCACTCGCGAGGGACACGGGCAGATGCTTCTGATCTGCAACTACTATTATTTTCCATGCAAGGATCCAGTAGTGAGAGCGGGAATTCAAGATCTCCATCCCAATATAGGTAGGATAAAGTAATAGAGGACGCAATGCGAAATAACTCAGAGACATGGTTAGGGAAGACGGGTTGTGATCCCGCCAACCACCTCCATTCTCAGAGGCGTGCATAGAGAATCAGGAACGGTGAATGACAAACGTACCTAGGTGATCTCGGCTATCTTCAGGCTGAACAATCATGCTAACATGATTCGACCAGAACTTCGTGAGAGGTATCCGGTCGTCCATTGACTGGACAGTCGTTGGTAGGCTGACATTTGAGGCTCCACATGGGCTCCTGTCTTCATGCTGGGAGAGGTTGGAGGCGCTGCTACTGGAGCTTAGCCTACTACCAGGTCGTAGATCAGAAAGCTCAACGCCCGAGGTAGGAGACG